TTACAGCAGCTGGTACTCCCAAGCAGTCACTCATCTAAATACTGACCAGGCTCAACATTGCTTAACTTTGGTAGTCATACAGGAGCAGGTGTTTCAATGTGATGTGTCTATAGGGGAGGAGATGGATTCATACCTTTCTAAAAGGTATTTGCATATAAGTGAATGCAACAAAACTGACTGGAATTTGAACACAGCTCCAATTTTTCATTCTGAGCCACTATACATTACAACACCCACACATCCCAATATTCACATCTTAATATACAAGGTGCAACAGAAATACCTCCCACATAATGGTAAGACATTAGGTGCAATAGTGTCTTCATCTGTCTTAACATTTCATGGGAGGTATATGTGGGAGATATTTCTAGCACACACTACAATAACTACATTAGTGTGTACATGGGTCTGTGTTTAGCAGTATCCAATAGCCACTCAGATTTTTTTTTTTTACTAAGACAACACAATTCTGCTAATTTGTATGATAATTATAAATAGAACTTATTTTTCATCAACTTTGTTTTAGAAGGAAAATATATATAGATACAAGATATGAAAAATGAATGTTGTCATCATCAAAAGATATCATATTGAATAAAAACAAAAACAAAAGATATAACATTGTTCTGAATCTAAAGTTATTAAACTAAACAAACGAAAACTTAAAATATACTTTTTTCAGGTATAAAAATTAGTGAAATCATATTTTAAAAAACATTAAGTTTGAAAGAAAGTCCTGTTGTATTTTTGACATGGCCACTTTGCAGATACTTTTTTAATACATTAAAATAACCATTCATCTTATATTATTTTGTTTTGTTTTTGCTTTCTTTACAGATTAAAGTGGGTAAATTTGTATTTATTTTACCCTTTTAAAATGAGTTTAGATTTGATCCATATCAGATCAATATCCTGTATGAATTCAAAATGGTCCATTCACTTAGAGAATCAGCAAGACACCTTTATTCTGTCTATGGAAATTAAATTTTAAATGTCAGACATAGCAACAATGATTTGGTCAGCTTCATTCAAGAAATTTCTCTCACAAAAATTCATCTTGATATGAACAGGCAAGTCCTGTCAATATTAAGTTTTTGTAATCTTAAGTAAACTACATAGACATTATCGAAACAGATCACACATCAATCATAATACACCTTCATGAACCAGGAAATGTGTCTAACTTGGTCAATGGCTCCCTCATAATCTGAATGCTTCTCAAGGTGATTGTAGAGTTCCCCCTCTGCTCACCATTAAACTGTAGACTAGCTACAGAACCTTTCCAAGGTAGAGTCATCACTAGCAGTGAAAAGTGAATTCTCCATAATCATATTCAAGGAAAATGGCAATGGATAGCAGCCATTGAAAAAAAGAGAATCAGTCCCCAAAGCAGGACTACATCCAGCAATGTAATGTACTTTTGGCCTTGAGCCACATTTAAGTTAAGCTTAGACAATCATCATAAGTGCTATAACTTTTCCTGAGTAACTCTGGCAATATGTAGTTTTGCATTCAAGAAAGGAGGCTATCCAATCCTGAAAATTCTGGATGTCTGCAAGGCTTACTAAGGAAGGTGCTGAAGATTGGAGGAGAATTATCACCACTTTGTCTTCAAAAAACATATCAAGACATGGTGGGTAAATACAGATTCATCAAAAAATCTGGATGTCTGCAAGGCTTACTAAGAAAAGTGCTGGAGATTGGAGGAGAATTGTCACCATTTTGTCTTCGAAAACCATATCAAGACATGGTGGGTAAATACAGATTCATCAAAATTGTGAACAGGGAAAAGAACACCAGCATAAAAGAAACTTAAAAAAAAAATTACTATGACCACGTCCGAGAGACATAGATGCTAAAAACAGCTCCAGAATTTACTTGATTCCTCCTGTCATAATCTTTTTAATGCAAAAATGATGTAAAAATTAATATTGAAGTTTTTGCCTCATTCTCCTGACCTTGTTCCATCTGACTTTCATCTTTTCAAATCATTGCAACATCCTTTAGAAGTTTTTAAAACTGATATTAAGTGTTTCTTTGCCCCCCCCCCCCAAACCTGAAGGATATTTCATCCAATGAATGTAAAACAGGAATACCAAATAGATAAGATTGTCTTATCAATAATGAAGGGAAATATATTTTTGATTAAATATATCAATTATGATCAAAGAAGCAGTTGTTTCTTCTTTTATGTTTAAATGTGATAACCTAATAGTTATAGAAATTTTGTATTCTAAGTTTAAAAAAAGAAAAAAAGATCAGTTTAAAATGTCTCACATTATACTGGGTGTAACAGTAAAATTGTCCAAATCATGTAACAGTACGCAATAATTCTCCATCCTACAAAATGTTTAATATCTAAAAAAATCACTAAACTAATTGAGTTCTTTTTATCCAGGTTTTTAGATGAGATATTTAGCCATTATACCACCATTTGTCATAATAACTGAAAAACTCTTTGAAAGCTAGAAAGAGAACAGATTAAAAATTTTTGAGCCAGCACCACTATCTTCTCAACTGAGCAATGGTGAGAGGAAATAGATCATTCAGGCCTTCAGTAAAGGTACCAACATTCATACTCTGGTTTCTATCTTCAAAGTCTATTAAAGGACCATCAAGAGAATGGTGAATAATTTTAAAAAAAGAGAGGGAGGAAAACTGAACCAGGAGGTCACAACAGGAAGAGGGATCATTTCAATTTAGAGCTAAATATGTTCTTATTGTTCAAGAGTCCAGTAGTGTTATAGAAACCATGGAGAATTTCAGTAAGATATCTTTAATAATATCTAAGATACAACGGTTCAAAGCTTAACCTCACAATTGAACAATTTTACTGCTACACCTGGTATATGCCTAATTCCAGATTCACTATCATCTGGTGACCTTATTAAATATATTTTTTTATATACACATTTATTCATATAAATATGCCCACATAAGCATTCAGGCAATGACATGAAATCCCAAATCTCCAGTGAACTTAAAAAAATATTTCATTGTGAGATGAGGCGGCTTTTGTTTTGTCAAAGGAACATCATTTGTCTTGCAAAGGATTTGACAAGTTTTTCAATATTTGATCAAGAATCAAATCTTTTCAACAAAATATACAGTTACTTTTTATTTTATTTAGAGTTTGCTGCCACAATCTGTGCTTTGATGGTACTTGTTTTCTCCACTTCTTTTTCTTTTTACTGATGTGTCTAAATTTGTATTTCTCAAAGAATGGAAAAAATCTACTCAGACATCAGAACTCTTTTCATTTTCTTTTTTTTTTTTTTAATAATTCTCACTTTTTTGTTTATTTTTACAGATATAAACATCAACAACCTTCCTTTCTTTTGAAATAGTCCGAGTCAGCAAAAATATTGACTTGAAGTAATGGCTTTTTGGATAGAGAACAGATTTTATAGACTTGGAGTTTTCAGATCCAGTCTCCATTACAGACTTTTATTTCCACATATTGAGAAGAATTGTAAAGAAGTTTCACAGAGTCTGTATATAGCTCTCTGAAGACAACAGACCAGTTTATATTCACTGGTATTATAACAAGTGATAAAACATTAGTTTTACATTTATATGCAATCTAATACAATTAAAAAAGACAGGATTACTTATATAGAGATTGACACTCATTTCAGTTCAGAGTGTCTCTGTGATCTGCCTTGGATTAAAACATCACTCCCCAACAATTCTACCTAAGATCAGGAAGGGATCAAAGTGTAATATCTGTTCTCTCTTCCTCTTGAAGTTATGAGGGAAGCCTGGTCCTGTGAATTCTAACCCAGCATCAGTTGCTTCTTTATTGCACTCAATGGGGAACATTGGCAGATACCAATGTCAGTATGACAGCAGTCACAGAGATTAAGCAGTTTTTGTCTTTGGCCTATATGGAGGCATATAGGCACCCTATATTAAAAGTAATCTTGTATTATATCTGTCATGGGTCCTTACCTATAACTACAGAATGAACTCTTCCTAACATTATGTATACTACACCTCTTAAGAGAGAGGGATGAATCGAGTCAAGCCAATAGTAGTTCACTCCAAACCAGACTGACAGTCATACTAACACCTTCCACATCTTGTATTATTATTTTGTGTAATATACCTTCGTTATTTTTATTCTTGTGTTCATGCTGTTCTTCCTTGGTCCTAGCCTGGACCAAAACAATATCCTACCGCTCTAAAGAGGTGAGTCAAACAAGATGATTCTGTGATCAAATTGCAGTATTTGTTCTCTCTTCCTTTTAAAATTATGAGAGAAGCCTGATCCTGGGATTTCCAATCTTCTTCACTGAACTAAAGAGGGAGGGTTGGTGGATATTGGTTCCCGCATAAGAGTGGTCATAGAGACAGGACATTTTTTGCCCTTGGCTTGTATAGATGGTATCCCACATTAAACAGGCAATACGTCACATCTTGCTACTGTGGGGAAGTAGATAAATAAAACATCAGTGTTCAAACAGCAGAACATTGGCCTAGTGGATATATCATTTGCCTGCTTACTTCCAGGTTTGATATTCAAATTAGTGCAAGATTCACTTGTTAAGTTTATATAGCAGTTTTTTTGGTATGACATATAGATAAAGAAACATACAGAAAGAACCACACTGTCAATTATATATATATATATATATATAGATAGAGAGAGAGATGGGAGAGTTGAGTATATATATATATATATATATATAATATATATATATAGATGGGAGAGTTGAGTATATATATATATATATATATATATATATATATATATATATATATATATATATATATATATATATATACTCAACTCTCCCATCAAATTCAACATATGAGGTCAAGCAGATCAGTTCCTAGGAGCTGACAACCCAACACCAGCATATGAGATTTGATTATAGTGGTAAAGGTTTTGTGCAGAACTAACCACACTTTTTGAATGTTCAACTACAGAGAACTCTAACCACACTTTTTGAATGTTCAACTACAGAGAACTGATGCACTACATGCCACAAGGTCCCTAAACGACCCCTACCCCCTGCAGGTTTTGAATTGTTTTCTTTCTCCTAGACGAGTTGCCACCCAAAGCTATAGAACCCAGTCTCTCCTGCTATTTATC